ATCGAAAACAGTTAAAAATACGTTAAACGTGAACCTTTAAAAAGACGTCTAACTTGCATTTTTTTAAACAAAAAATCAATTATTTCATTAACATTTATTTTTTTACGATACAAATTTCTCGATGTAATTTTCATCATTTTATTAGGAAATTTTCAAAAATTTTCAAAATTTTATATCCGAAAAAGTCATATCTCATGTAAATTTTTAGATGTAAAATTACACGGAGTATGATTTTTTTGGACGTAAATTTTCGATTGTAAAAATTCTACCAACTTCTTTACAAGTTCGATTGTGCCCTCACAAAGTCAAAGTTATGCGTTCGTCCCTACTGATATTAGCGTAAAGTTCCAGTTATTTTCTTTGTCGATATTATTTAGTGTTATATAATATATATTAGGGAGAATTGCAGTCACAATACCAAATCTCTCGTTTTATTGAAGACTTGACCCAAATCTTTCATTTGTGCCACCGACGGTATTAAACTTTTGAAAAACTCGTACCTGGAGCCAAATGAATGGAAACTAATATTTTGACTATATCAGTTGACTCAAAAAATTATTTTTGACCAATTTTAGAGGGGTAAAATGGTTACTTTGAATTAAAATAAAACAAAAAATCAAAAAGCTAGCCTCGCCCCCACCGTGGCACATATCTCTTTCACAAACAGCCACCTTCGGAAGCTTTTTAACTGCCTTTGTTGTCATTGCTGGCGATGAAATTATTGTATCAACCCATGTGCCTGCATTGTGCTATGCTTTGGGGGAGGTGGACTGGTGGAGCCATAGGGTTCAGTTGAATTGTTGTGTTGAAATATTGGGGTGCGTTTATTGATTTTGACAGAGGAATATTCGAACGTGCATCCGTATAAGAGAGATTTTGAAGCTATTGAAGAATCCGGATGTTGGGTTTTTGGAGTTTCTCGATGGGATTGGTAATGGTGGTGAAAAAGGCCAGAAACTAGTTTTTTTTTTTTTTGATATCCAGGTATCACAGCTTACACCAGACTATATCCTGAACCACCCATCCTCGACACCTCAGTGATGGGTGGAGGTTAATCGCGGGGTATGTCCAAGTTGACTAGGGTCTGTGCACCTTTTATACTCCTGATCTCAAGGAAGCCTTCCTCCATGGATATTACATCAACAAACTGCTACATCCAAATTGAGTATTACAACACTCAGCTACTCCATCCAGGAATTGAACTCCCCACCTTGAGGTTGCAAGCCCAGTAGTATCCATCCTTTGCCAACTCGGATGTGCCCCGAGGGGTGAAGAAACTGGTTTTTTGATGGGTTTGATAATGGTTTGTGATTTGGAGATAAGAT